TATAATATACAGAGTTTTATTTTTATCCGTAGCTGTATTAAAACGTTGAACTTTTATAACTGCTTTATTCAGATTAATTAACATAATATTTTTATCATAATAACTTGCATAGTATTTGCAAGTAAAGCATTAAATTTACTATGTCGTCAATACATCAAGGACAAGCAATCAGTTAATATTATATGTACCTATTCAATTCATCAAAGTATGCCAAAAGAACAAAAAACACAATATAACATTTTTTCATCAATATAATTTAGTTTTTTTTGTCATACGATGTTTAAATAAAATGTAAAATAAACGTTGTAAACTGATTTGGGGTTTCTCGCGTATTTAAAAAATATATTGAATAGTTAAAAATAAATAGCATTATTGTGTGTGGAATAATTTATTATACATTCAAGAATTAGTTAAAACATAAGATGAAAAATCCGACCAATTTTTTTAGGTTAATTTCAGTTGAAATCAAGTGAAAAATTTGTTTTAATAGATTTTATTCTTATTGCCATATTAATAATACAAAGAAATTTTAGGGTGCACAATATGGTACGTGAGTATTTGTCAAGACTTCTTGTCTATTGTTGAAAAAGTTTTTGAATTCCAATGGGGAGAGAAAAAGTACATACTTTACATATAAATAAATAATAATAGTTGAAGTTTAGAATACAAAGCAGACATATTTTGTTTGTAAAACTTATTTCAATTTCAGATAATTATACTAATCAAATTAGTTTTGTCTTATTTATAACTGTCCTATCAGGCTATCCAGTTAAACAACTATTTCTCATGCATATATTAGGTATATATATAGCTAAAATTGTCAAGTAATATTAGTATTTTAATTGTTGAATAATATTGTATAAACATAAAATAATTTTTAGATTCTGAGCGGAGCGAGAAATGTATTGATTTTACAATGATATGTGTTTTTTTTTTGTGTCTGTCATTACGTTTTGGGGTATTAAAAGTGCTTCAATTGTTGACTTCAGTACCTCGTTCGATCAGAAAGTGAATCTAATTGGTACTTTGGGGGGTCAAAACTCAAAAGTAAAAAATTCTCAATATTTTTCTAAATAATCGGGATAAACAAACTAAACATTAAATGAAAAACGGGAAACCATCAGTTTTCGACAAAATCGATTTTGGTTTTTGATGTAACTTTAAAACAATAGATAAATGAAATTTTCACCGAATTTTTATATAAGTATATCGTATMCACCAATCAAATTTCAAAAAAATTCGACTTCAGTTGAACTATTTATAGGCATATGCAATTTTCGATAGTTATTAGTTTTTTTAAAAATTAATATCGATTAAAATTTATTTGTTGGGTAGAAAAGCTTGAAAATTTAATACAAGGCTCCTAACATATTGTTACAATAGCAGTTGAAAAATAAAAGAAATACATCATAGTCACAATTTAATACAAGATTTCTCACAAGTTTGTCAACCTTTATCATAAAATAAATATCCACCAGAATGTCAAATTAAGTTTTTATGAGCGTCTGAAATTTAATTTTTTACAATATTGGATTTTCACTAGATTTATCATTTAGCGATTTTCTTATTTTGGTGTAGTTCTAAAACAAATGACCGCAGATACTTGAAATTTTCACTGAATGTTTATATAGGCATTTTCTATATTTTATGAGATTTTCAAAATATTTTGATTAGTTTTGAGCTGTTTACTGAAYGTGCGTGAGTTGCCCCTCCCCACATTGTCGTATCAACCTCGAACCTTCACCAGTGTTTTGGAACTAATTTGGAATTGATTGGAACCTAGTTTTTGAAATTTAGAACCTCAAACTTTTCCCGGGAAACCGATTTTTCTGTTGTGGGGGGGGGGGGCAATGTATGCTCAAATGAGCCAGGGCGGCATTGTATGCGGACAAATGCCGGCACCACACGGCGTGGGTTCCGTGTTCTGTTCCTGACTACCGTTCCGTCACAGAACACGAGACCGGCCATACCCAACGTCAGTACCATGTACGGGAACTCGTGTGTAGCGTACTGGACGCCGGACACTGCACCACGCGCAGCAGTTAATCGGACTGCTGTGGGCGTGGTTTTGAACGTGGCAACAACCAATGCAACGGTCAGCGCCGTCACGTGACCGTACGCAATAATCAACCACAGACAATCATGGGCGGTTCATGTTGGTACACAGCGCTGCAGCAGGTGAGACCAAGATTATAAAAGGGAGTGCGGAGCACAAAATCATTCAGTATTCCTTCCTATCTTACCATCGCAAGACCCACCCAGGGCAGACTTGCATGGTATAATTTCCCTCCTACCTCACCGTAGCAAGACCCACCCAGGGCAGACTTGCGCGATGTTGACTCTCCACTCAACACAAATTTAGAACCAAAAGGATACAGTCCACTCAACATCAAATTAAGAACAATAACTAATAAGTAATAATAATCTATAATATATCGTAGACAGATAAATCGTCTCTGTTCAGAATCGTTTTTCGTGTACAATGATATAATATCATTGGATTCAAATTTAATTCCATCCATTCCAGTAATCCACTTGTAACCTACTGTACAGCTGAGCGATATTCACTTTCCCGCTTTTTTTTATTCAAATTAAGACTTTTTTTTACCAATTCTTTAAAATTATATTGAAGTATACAGAGTGATTCTTTTAAGTGGGTAGGTACACTAA